TCGAAAAAAAGCTACCCAACCAAGACCCAACCAAGGTTTTAGTGTTGCAGTACAAAAAAACTTCTACTACTCTTCCCACTGAAGCTGTAAGCAAGGGGAAACAAAAAAAATCCTTTTTGGAAAATAAAACCAAACTGTTGCCCCTCGATCATAAAAAAAATGGTTAATTCGTTGATTGTACTTTCTCTTCTGCCTGTCACTTAAAAAAAATAAGAGTTCTCTTACGTAGCCATTCACCTTACAGATCTTATCCAAAAAAAAATGTGCATAGTCGCAAGCATCGGTAGATCTGTGTCATTAGTTAAAAAAAGTCAATCAGAGATAGCTGCGACCTTGAGTGTGTCAGTGGAAACAAAAAAATGGCTGATTACGTGGCCAAGATACTTTACTTCACTCTGGAAAAAAAAAAACTTCTTTGGACTTAACTTTAGTTGAGCATCTCGTAGACGGGACAAAAAAATGCGTAGCCGAGTAAGCATGTCTTCAAAGGTTCTACCATAAACAAAAAAATCGTCTAATTAAATCAGTAGGATCTCCCATGGCAGGTCAAGTAAAAAAAATTCCATAAGACGCTCAAAGGTGGCCTGCGCGTTGCACAGACCGAAAAAAATCACCTTGAACTGATACAGCCCACCCGCGCCGGTAGTGAAAGCTGTCTTGGGACGGTCCCCCTCCGCCACCTCCACTTGCCAGTGGAGAGATCAAAAAAAGAAAACCAGCGAGATCCTACAAGGGCATCCAGAGTGTCATCGAAAAAAAAAAGGAGATATGAATCCTTTATGGTAACTGCGTTAAGTTTAGGATAGTCCAAACAGAAACGATCCATCAGGCTTCTTGACTAATACTATTGGGGAAAAAAATGGGCTACATGAAGGCTCGATCATTCCCCTAGCTAGCATTTTGAAAAAAACTTTCTGTGCTTCCTGTCTCTTATGCAGAGGTAGACGCCTTGCAAAAAAATTTATCGGCAGGGAAACACCAGTGTTGATTCTATGAGTGACAAAAAAAAAGCGACCAATATCCTCTGGGCTTGAGGAGAAAACATCACCGAACAAAAAAAAGAGTGAGCTCACATCTCTTTGCTGTTTCTCATCGAGTTTTTTAAAAAAACTCGTGTAAACGTCTGTTAGGTGGTCTGGGACAATTTCTAAAGAAAAAAACACGTCGATAGCCTGGGGCTTTACGTAGTTCACACCTAGCAAGAAAAAAACGTCAATGCACTGGGCTGGTTCGCAAGTCGCTGCAATCGAGTCAAAAAAAACTGTTTTTGTCGAATCCGTTGGATTTAGTAAACGTAACGACCAAAAAAAGATTGAGGTGAACTAGGGACCTTGCCATCATTAGGTTGTGCCGAAAAAAAAAGTGTGCTGTCAACATTGACTCCGAACGGGGAGGCAAAAGTAAAAAAAAACTTAACGCGATGCCACGACACGCTAAGCCGTCTTGTGTTGAGAAAAAAAGTACACGTGTTCCCGACAAGCTTAATGCATAGCCGTTCTTGTTAAAAAAAAGCTCACACTGATGATATCCTAGAAAGTCCATGCTAATATTCCAAAAAAATCAATGTCTGCTACTAAAATGTTATGCGTTGTCTCAAATGTATAAAAAAAGATGGAAAAGTCACTTTTCCCTCTGAAGGGAAGTGTTCGTCCGAAAAAAAACTGTATAACTCGATTCTCTTTATCTAAGATGATGCATTGATCAAAAAAAAACTTGTTATAAACTGAATGTTTCAGTATTGTTGCACTTGCGCAAAAAAAAAAAGCTTAACAGGCTTGCCATTAACAAAAAAACTGATGTAGAAAAAAAAATCCCCTTCTCCAGACGCACTTCCTCTGATAGGGATCGTTGCGAAAAAAACGCTTTGGATTTCAGCCGGGCTCAGCCCCGAGGGACCGGCTGTAAAAAAATTCCCGGAAGCTTTGGACTTTCCTGGTTTCTCTTTTTGGGGCAAAAAAAATGAAAGTGGCCTCTATCACCACAGGTGTGACAGCCAGTGCACTAAAAAAAGGGTCGTGGCTTATCAAGTAGCTTTTGGAGAAGGCTTCTGATGAAAAAAAGGTCTGATGCAGCTGAAGCACCTTGATCTGGACTCTCTTTCACAAAAAAAGCACGCACTTCCTTTCTGGGTTGACCGGTTTCCAAGAAGGCTTAAAAAAAAACAGCAACAGTAAGGTCGTCATTTAGGGTTTTAGACCTGCTTAAAAAAATTCTCAATCTCATATCTCCGTCAACTAAGGCATCCACAAAGTGAAAAAAAGCTAAGGTCTCACGTAGCTGCTGTGGAGCCTCGGTGTATGCCTAAAAAAAGAGCCTTCTAATGGCTTGTGCAAGCTCTGGGAGTTTTTCGTCTAAAAAAATTGACCAATTCTTTAGGGCTGAACGAAAGTTTTCCTGTTGAAAAAAAAAAGCGAGCTTCAGGAGCGAGGTCTCCAAGAACAGCCTGGGCAGAAAAAAAAAAACTCACAGCTAAGTAGGTGGTTTTTGACGCCATGCTCCATTTAAAAAAATCCGCTACAAGTTCAAATTGGGCCAGATAATCTTCCGAAGGAGAAAAAAAATTGTAGGTACTGGGCTTTACTTTAGGTTTTTCTTCAATTGCTAAAAAAACAACGAATTTCTTGTTGTCGTTATGGGGTGCCTGTGTTTCGCTAAAAAAAGCGGGACTGGGATGAATCAAAGATGGTGGCGATGGAGCATTTGAAAAAAACGTATTCTGAACGTTGACAAGGGGCATTTCTCCTCTAGTTTCTAAAAAAATCGTGGAATCGTCNCGTGCGACCAATATCCTCTGGGCTTGAGGAGAAAACATCACCAAACTCCTTCAAGAGTGAGCTCACATCTCTTTGCTGTTTCTCATCGAGTATTTTACAACTTCTCGTGTAAACGTCTGTTAGGTGGTCTGGAATGATTTCTAAAGAGGCCTCAACATCGATATCCTGGGGCTTTACGCAGTTCACACCAAGCCGGTTGTCTTCGTCAATGCACTGGGCTGGTTCGCACGTCGCTGCAATCGAGTCCTTGTATACTGTTTTTGTCGAATCCGTAGGATTTAGTAAACGTAACGGAACCTGGTTCCGATTGAGGTGAACCAGGGACCTCGCCATCATTAGGTTGTGGCGTTCCTGGAATTGGCCAGTAACTTCTATGACCCCCAACTCTTCTGTAGCCTCACCATCAGCAAAGTGTGCTATCACCATTGACTCCGAACGGGGAGGCAAAACTACGGTTTCGCTTAACGCAATGCGACGACACGCTAAGCCGTCTCGTGAGGAGTGACAAGGTACACGTGTTCCCGACAAGCTTAATGCATAGCCGTTCTTGTTTCGCAGGAGCTCACACTGATGATGTCCTAGAAAGTCCATGCCTAATATTCCGTCAACTTCAATGTCTGCTACTAAAATGTTATGCGTTGTCTCAAATGTATCGATTTTGATAGAAAAGTCACTTTTCCCTCTGAAGGGAAGCGTTCGTCCGTCGGCCAACTGCATAACTCGATTCTCTTTATCTAAGATGATGCATTGATCTTCCGACAACTCCTTATAAACTGAATGTTTTAGCATTGTTACACTTGCGCCGGTGTCCACTAAAAACTTAACAGGCTTGCCATTAACAAAACAACTGATGTAGAGCCCATCATCCCCTTCTCTAGACGCACTTCCTCTGATAGGGATCGTTGGGGGCTTTGCGCTTTGGATGTCAGCCGGGCTCAGCCCCGAGGGACCGGCTGTTTCTCGTTTCCCGGAAGCTTTGGACTTTCTTGGTTTCTCCTTTTGGGGCAGTCTCGCTGAAAGTGGCCTTTATCACCACAGGTGTGACAGCCAGTGTACTGACCATAGGGTCGTGGCTTATCAAGTAGCTTTTGGAGAAGGCTCTTGATGTCTTTGAGGTCTGATGCAGCTGAAGCACCTTGATCTGGACTCTCCTCCACAGCTACGGCATGCACTTGTTTTCTGGGGTGACCGGTTTCCAAGAAGGCTTCCAGCTCAACAGCAACAGTAAGGGCGTCGTTTAGGGTTTTAGGCCTGCTTTGGTGAATTCTCCATCTCATATCTGCGTCAACTAAGGCGTCCACAAAGTAATCACGGGCTAAGGTCTCACGGAGCGGCTGTGGAGCCTCGGGGTATGCCTGACGTGTGAGCCTTCTAATGGCTTGCGCAAGCTCTGGGAGTTTTTCGTCTTTCAGCCTTGACCGATTCTTTAGGGCTGAACGAAAGACTTCCTGTTGGTTCTCAGTTCCAAATCTTGCCGCGAGTGCACTTGTAAGCTCAGAAAAATCTCGGCGAGCTTCAGGAGCGAGGTCTCCAAGAACAGCCTGCGCAGAACCAGTTAAACTCACAGCTAAGTAGGTGGCTTTTGACGCCATGCTCCATTTATTTATTTCCGCTACAAGTTCAAATTGGGCCAGATAATCTTCCGAAGGAGTACTTCCATTGTAGGTACTGGGCTTTACTTTAGGTTTTTCTTCAATTGCTGCGTTTCCAACGAATTTCTTGTTGTCGTTATGGGGTGCCTGTGTTTCGCTTGGACGCGCGGGACTGGGATGAATCAAAGATGGTGGCGATGGAGCATTTGGTAAAAACGTATTCTGAACGTTGACAAGGGGCATTTCTCCTCTAGTTTCTTTCCTCTTCGTGGAATCGTCATGGACCCAGGCTCTCGAGTATTTCCATTGAAGAAAGCCTTGAGTCAAACTGGTCAAGTCGGGCTGAGATTAACTAGGTGAGCTTCCTTCAACGATGTCATGGTATTTTATTGGAGTAGAATGTGGTTGTGAGTCCATTAATGTATTCTTTTGTGAGGTAGCCGTGGCGGCTAATGGGTTAATTTCGCCATCCGTCGATGAGCGGCCSAAATTGTACTTCATTTTCTTGTGACATGACTTTACCGCTGCCACCAGTTGTAACGTTTTGTTGTRATCAGGGTTCGTGCAGAGTATCAAAAACGAAATTTAAGGACTTTTCAAGGACCAACATTGTATTTTCATGGAAYATCATAGTCATGCTACATGTAATTGTACATTCTTACCTCACAAACTTCAGCCGAACGGAATTCASAGATCGCTAGCGCTTCGTGATAGAGATCTATCTTTTTCAAGGAGTTTCCAARGACTTTTTCGAAATTTTCAAATTTTCAAGGAGTTTCAAGTGCCCTTGAAAACCAGTTTTCAATTCAAGCACTTTTCAAGGATTTAAGGACCTGCACGGACCCTTTGTGATCCTTTTTCCTTGACTTTATTGCGATCAGAAACCAGAGCTATACACTAAGAAYCCGAACTTTACAACAACACTCGACTAACTAAAAACACTGACTCGGCCCAGACTTCTGCGGACACTATTACAATACTTTCCTCTTATCGCTCACTTTTTTYCCCGTAAACGYGTGAATTTTTGATATTTTATACCCGCTATCTAATGTTATAAGTTTTYTTATCGCCCTCGCCTCCARTAGTCCCAGACTAACTGCGAGGGCTGATTTTACCTGGAATTGCATTTAGAGTCKTCTTAAAAAAGTTATTGTTGTTGTCATTTRATTGCTCTGTCAATTGATCTGATGGATCAATGCATAGACGATATGATTGGTTTATGTTTGATAAACAATAGTTACAACTTACCTCTTCTTCCTCTTCCTCTTCCWCTTCACAGGAGAACTCCTTCAAATTWARACAATATTGCTTGGYTAACAACTTTTAAGCAAATATACAWTGGATTTCATTAACTATCAACCTGGAATATTCAAATTGTGGCAAAGAAAAAGAAAAACGAGAGAATGAAAGTGTGATTAATGGTATAAAACCGTATTTCACGGATTAATAAAACAACATTTAGCCAACTAAAGTGGTTTAGATAAACCCGTTAGACAAATGACAGCTGTCTACGTTCTGTGTAACATGTGTGTATCATGATACACCTAGAACACAATGAAAAACGTACTATGATATAAAGGGTAATAAAGTGTAGCACATCAGAGTGTATTTCCCGGATCTCAGAAAACCACTCAAGGTAGGCAATGTGGTCAATTAAAAGTCAAGGCTCTCGATTAGACGGCCCTCTATTCAGCGGTCTTGAAAACCTCCAATAAGAGGTCACCTGGTCGACTTTACTCTGGGTGACCGTATAAGAGAAGTTTTACTGCAGTCACTACTTACTGTCAACAGCGTTGCAAGTAGCTGAACCTAAGAAATAATGAAAAAGAAAAAGTGTCACCATAATCTATCAAACTAATTTTTGTAAATAAGATAAAGGGCATAAAAAATTATTTCTCAGACAAATTTCTCAATGATAACATTTCTTGAGGTACACAAGTGTTCAATATAATTGCAAAATCTCWAWATGAATCAGATTGTTGAGTTTATGTTTCGGCAACACTTCTTCTAGCATCAGTGWATGAAGAGTACGAGGTCACTGAAAAAATTGTATAGTGTAACAGCACCTTTTAACAGGACCTTATTTACGGCAATGCCAAAACAGATATCTTACAGCATAACAATGTATTAAGCAGCTGCTACAAGCTCATTAGAACAAGTTGTATATTTGCTGCTCATTATCAGACTATTTTTAAAAACCTTAACTGATTTTTACTACTCAAATAAAAGTCTATTGATGGATTGCCATCATTTATCAGTGCCAGTCATCACATAGCTGACGGATAAACACATTGGAAAATGATGTCTGTGCACTAGAACCCTCCAAAAGGGAAGATTATGSCTGCWATTGAGTACTGACGCTTAAAGTTGTAGCATTCTCTTTCACTGTTTCAGCCTTACTGATCTTACTTGCTTTCATTGTTGAACTATTATAAACTTTAAAAAAAGCTGCATTTACATTTAGCTTACCGCGTCATAACTCTCAGTCTCGATTCCCTAAAAAAAATAACGAAATCCAATCAGAATGAAACAAACAAAATAATACTTAAATGGGCGTCTTCCAGCATTAGCAATGCGTGATGGGAAGGKGTTTCCTAAATAAAAAATTCTCAATATGACGTCATAACATCAACGTGACGTCATATAAATGCATTGACGTCGAAAGAAATTGAACACTGTAATGGGTAATGGTGAACGGTGTGAGATTTTCAACTTTTATTTTCAATTTCTTTTTTTTAAGTTTTTAATTAATTTGCATCACTGGTTTGAATCTTAAAACTCCTCCTTAAAACATGCTTTTTAGTTTATACATATCAAAGTTACAAAAGATCTCAAGACGTAATCTTTCATTTTTTAAGCATCTCCTTCGAGATAACAAAGCAAACGAATATTTAGATATCGAGCGACCAGATTATTGACGAGCTGAGGGCTTCATACTGAAGAACACCTCTGTTATCACTTCACCATTATCTTAATATTCACTGAAATAATTTTTTTTCATCATATACACACTTTTTTTTCTCTTATCGGCAATTTTTTAKTACCTGTAAACCTGTGAACTTTTGATATTTTTATGTACTAGCTATCTAATGTGATATGTTTGTTTATCGCCCTCGCCTCCAATAGTCCCAGATTAACTGCGAGGGCTGTTTTACCTGTAATTGTGTTAAGAGTTGTCTTAATAAAATTCTTTCTTGTTATGTTGTCTCATTTTAAAGATATCTAAARATAGTTCGGTCAATTGACCTCATGAATGAATGCATGGACGGTTTGTTTATGRTTGATAAGCAATARTTACAACTTACCTGTTCTTCCAATCCACGTTCKATTCCCTTAGAATTTAAAAAAATCAAAATTGCTTGATTAACAGCCAAATATCAAATTATACARTGGGTTGCATTAACTATGAACATGGATTGTTGGAAGTGTGTCAAAATCGAGGGTTAATAAGATAATTGAAGAAAAAGGAAAACGTGACAATTAAAGTGTAATAAGGGGTTGTGCGCTAAACAGTATTTCACGGGTAAATAAAAAAAAAACGTTTAGACAACTAAAGTGGTTTTAATAAACCCGTGAAACAAAGAGCAATAATTGTCTAAGTCCTGTGTAAAAATGTATCATATACACCAAGAACACAATGAAAAACGTACTATGCTATAAAGAGTAATAAAGTGTAGCACATCAGAGTGTATTTCACGGATCTCAGAAAACTACTCAAGGTAAGCAATGTGGTCATTACAGTCAAGGTTTTATTTAAGAGCGCTCTATTTAGCGGTCAAACCTCCACTAAGTGGCCATCTGGTCTTTACTCTGGGTGACCGTATAAGGCAGAGGTTTTACTGCAGTCACTACTTACGTTCTTTATCCTTTTCATTACATGAACCTAAGAAATAATGAAAAAGAAAATGTGTCATCATAATTCATCCAATTAATTTTTTTAAATAAGATGAAGGATATCAAATTATTTATCAATGATAATATTTCTTGAGGTTTCACACGTTTTTAATAACGGAGTGTCTAAACGTCAGGCAGACTGACGTTTAGTCCCAGGACTAAACGTCAGGCAGTCGAATTTTTTCTTATAAAATCGTCGGAACAACCGTAATTTCAATTAATACAACAAGGGAAATGCAATAAAGTTCGAAATAATACTGTTCGACAAGTTTCAAACACAAGCACGGCATTTTTTTTGATTTTTCGACTGCCTGACGTTTAGTCCCAGAACCAAACGTCAGGCAATCTACTTTTTGTGAAAAGTCGTCGGAACAACTGTAATTTCAATTAACAGCACTAGAGAAATGGAATAAAGACCGAAATCAATAAGGGTCTTGTCAAAAGTTAGCAGGGGGAGGGGAGGTGGAAATTGAAAAGTTGGTACTGGGGATATACGGTGACCAATCATAGTGGGGAAGTAAAATATTCTAACCCTACTGATATTAGACGGGCAAAATATCGTGACCTTCCCCGTCCGCCTTCAACCATTACCAGAAAAATTTTTCACTGTCCACAAGCATACAGTGAATGGTGCAGGGCCTATAATTGGATCATTCTTAATTTTGAAGGGATAAGGATTAGGAAATTTGATAGGCAGTTGATTAGGACATTTCATTCATCTATTCYAAGTATTGCTCACTTTATACATTTGATATACTTTGTTTGTGTTAGTGTTGTTGTGGCTATTGAACAAAATAAAACACTTTCTTTATCTATTTATACTGTGAACCAATTATCATTATTATTAACTGCCTATATCAAATATCCTAATGAAGAAACAATGGTCTAATTATAGTCCCTGCACCATCTTTCACTGGCTGCTTGGGGGCAATGATAAATTGTTGTGGTAATGGTTGAAGGGGGATGGTCTGATACAGAGAGGGTTAGTAAATTTCATCCACAACTCTGGTATGTCATCACCATATTCTCAGTACCCGGTTTTCATTTTCCACCTCCCCTTCTCACTGCTAATTTCTGACAAGATCCTTATTACCTTATTACCCTGAGTAAACGTCAGGCAGTCGAAAAAGTGCCGTGCTTGTGAATATACAAATTTGTCGAACAGTATTATTTTGGTCTTTATTGCATTTCCCTTGTTGTATTAATTGAAATTACGGTTGTTCCGATGATTTTATAAGAAAAAATTATACTGACTGACGTTTAGTCCTGGGATTAAATGTCAGGCTGCCTGACGTTTAGACACTCCGTTTTAATAAATTGATTTTTGAGACTGTGTTTCGGCAACACTTTTTATGAATAACGATTTCAAAAATGCAAGTTATCTAACGACCAGCATTAAATAAACGTGTTTAAGTTGATGGAATCAGGACTGTATCATGTAATCATTCTTTTATGGGTGTTAAAATCTGGAATAGTAACAAACTTACCTTTAATTCTCTTCCATGCTTG